ACGTTTGAGGCAGGCCGTGACCAACATGGTGAAAACTCCTCTCTACTAAAGGACACAAAAAACAGAGCGCAGCGTGGTGGCAGGGCACCTGCAGTCCCAGCTACTCAGGAGCCAAGCAGGAGAATCACTGGAACCAGGAGCAGAGATTGCAGTGAGCCTGAACATCACACCACTGCACTCCAGCCTGGGCAACAAGAGCAAAACTCCATCTTAATTTAAAAAAAAAAAAAAAAAAAAAGAAGCCAGGCGCAGTGGCTCATGCCTATAATCCCAGCCACTTTGGGAGGTCGAGGCAGGTGGATCACCTGAGGTCGGGAGTTCAAGACAGCTGACCAACATGGAGAAACCCCGTCTCTATTAAAACTACAAAATTAGACGGGTGTAGTGGCACATGCCTGTAATCCCAGCTACTCAGGAGACTGAGTAGGAGAATGACTTGAACCCGGGAGACAGAGGTTGCAGTGAGCCGAGATTGTGCTAATGCGCAAATCTCGCCAATGCGCAAAAAACTGTCTAAAAAGAAAGCAAAAGAAAAGGATGTCGACCGGGTGCAGTGGCTCACGCCTGTAATCCCAGCACTTTCGGAGGCCGAGCAGGTGGATCACAAGGTCAGGAGATCAAGACCATCCTGGCTAACATGGTGAAACCCCATGTCTACTAAAACTACAAAAAATTAGCCGGCGGTGGGGCGGGCACCTGTAGTCCCAGCTACTCTGAGAGGCTGAGGCAGGGAGAATGGCGTGGACCCGGGAAGGTGGAGCTTGTAGTGAGCCGAGATGGTGCCATTGCACTCCAGCCTGGCGACAGAGCGAGACTCGTCTCGGGGGGGGAAAAAAAAAAAAAGGTGTCAACAGAGAGCATTTGGGTAGCCTATGAGGAATAGCTGGTAGGTGCCCACTTTGATCACTCTCTTACACAGACTGAGCCCCAGTGGAAGATGAGCTGGGGAATGTAGGACCATGTGGACAAATGTAGGGAGTAAACAAGGTTGGCAAGGTCCCTGGAACTTCGCCCCAGGAAGGCGACTGGCTGGGTGAGCTGGGGGAAGATGTGTGCAGGGGACCTGTGCAGCTGGGAGGAGTGCTGGGCTGTGGAGGAGAAGGAAGCTACGGACAAGAAACCTCAGGTGGGAGGATTTGGACAAGGGTGAGAAAGACAGAGGGGCTGTGTGCCTCAACCAGCGGGACCTACGGGCAGAACTGGAGAAGTCTCAAGGGCTGGCCTCTCTCTTGGCACGTGCATTCTGCCTTTCTACTGCTTTCCTCATCTTCACTTCAAGGGCAAGGGTGTGTCTTACTCAACTTCTGTTACCCGGAGTGTCCACTGTGTTAAGGCATACAGCAGGTGCTCAGACCATCTTCGGTTATTTTGGATCGACTGGGTCTGAACAACAGATGTGCCACCTTTGATCCCGTTATTTCTAGAATCATCTTTTCACTCCACATGCTGGTTTAGCTTTTGCACTCCTCAGTCAGGCAGAAGCTATTTCTGGCCCCCTCGCCAGTAAGATGACATATGCTTGCCCTATGTTGGTTGATCATGAAAGGCTGACTCATAATCAGAGGCGGTCTCAAGTTCAGGGTTAGCTAGGCATTTCTCTGGGGCACATGGAAATTAGTTTCTCTACAGGTGAGAGCAGCCACTACCAATCTGCTTCGTGTCCCAAGCTGTGTCCTGAAACAGCTGCTACCGGACCTTCTCTGCATACTGTAAGCATGGGTGACACCTGCCTGCAATTGGGTGGGGGCAAAGAGAACGGGAGCTTGCACTGGGTTCAACATTCATGCAAACATTTAGTTAGCATCTGTAGCGTCTGTGAACACTGCCCTGGGAGTAACAGCACCTACCCTATTTTTAGAGGTCAGCTTCAAGATTAGGGTTGTCATAGCACCTCTTTTTTCTTTGCTGCAGACTAGGAATAAAAGCCATAGCACCTTACACCTCCCCTCCCCTAAAGTTGGCATTTATCAAACAGCATTTTATTTATTTATTTATTTATTTATTTATTTATTTATTTATTTTTTCCGAGATGGAGTTTTGTTCTTGTTGCCTGGGCTGGAGTGCAGTGATGCCATCTTGACTCATGCAACCTCCACCTCCGGGATTCAAGCGATTCTCCTGACTCAGCTTTCCAAGTAGCTAATTCTGTATTTTTAGTAGAGATGGGGTTTCGCCATGTTGGACAGGCTGGTCTCAAACTCCTGACCTCAAATGATCCACCCACCATGGCCTCCCAAAGTGCTGGGATTACAGGTGTGAGCCACCATGCCCAGCCTAGGCTAGCATTTATCAAATAGCATTTTAAATATGATTTGGGAAGCTGGACCCAGTGACTCATGTCTGCAATCCCAGCACTGTGGGAGGCCGAGAAAGGAGGATCAATTGAGTCCAGGAGTTCAAGACCACCAACCTGGGCAACAAAGGGAGACCCTGTCTCTACCAAAAAAAAAAAAAAAAAAGGGCAGCCAGGCATGGTGGCCCTCACCTGTAGTCTTAGCTACACAGGAGGCTGAGGCAGAAGGATCACTTAAGCAAGGCTCTGTACCAAAAAATAAGTAAAAGTAAAAAATAAATGGTTATTTTTGTTGTTGTTTGGTCTGAATGTTCTACTAAACTGGAAGCTCAGCTAGTCATGGTGGCTCATGCCTGTAATCCCAACACTTCGGGAGGATCCCTTGAGACCAGGAGTTTGAGACCAGCCTGGACAACATAGTGAGATCCCATCTCCACATGAATAAATAAACTGGGCCGGGTGCAGTGGCTCACGCCTGTAATCCCAGCACTTTGGGAGGCCGAGGCAGGTGGATCATGAGGTCAGGAGTTCAAGATCAGCCTAACCAACATGGTGAAACCCCATCTCTAGTAAAAATACAAAAAAATTAGCCGGGTGTGATGGCAGGCGACTATAGTCTCAGCTACTCGGGAGGCTGAGACACAGAATTGCTTGAACCCGGGAGGTAGAGGTTGTAGTGAGTCGAGATCACACCACTACACTCCAGCCTGGGCAACAGAGTGAGACTCCATCTCAGAAAAAAAAAAACAGGCAGGCGCGGGGGCTCACGCCTGTAATCTCAGCACTTTGGGAGGCCAAGGCGGGCAGATCACGAGGTCAGGAGTTCGAGACCAGCCTGACCAACATGGTAAAACCCCGTCTCTACTAAAAATACAAAAATTAGCTGGGCGTGGTGGTGCGTGCCTGTAATCCCAGCTACTCTGGAGGCTGAGGCAGGAGAATCACTTGAACCCAGGAGGCGGAGGTTGCAGTGAGCTGAGATCATGCCACTGCACTCCAGCCTGAGCCACAGAGCGAGACTCCGTCTCAATAAATAAACTGGAAGTTGTTTGAAACCAAAACCACGTATGTCTTCAGTTTTTGGTACAGAGTCCTGCACAAAATAGGCATCTTTTATTTATTTTAGAGATGGGGTCTCCATATGTTGCCCAGGCTGGAGTGCAGTGGCTATTCACAGGTGCGATCATATCACAGCTGACTGCAGCCTCAAATTCCTGGGCTCAAGTGATCCTCCTGCTTCAGCCTCCCGAATACTTGAGACTACTAGATACTCGAGAAAAGGCAAGAATGTGGTCTGAATGTTGGGAAAGCAGTTCATCTGGTGAAGAGAGCAGAGGATTCCAGGTGAGGAACAGGTATGTGCAAAGGCCAGAAGGCATCCTGAAGAAAGGCGAAGAAAGGCGTGGTTGGAGCACAGCGGCAGAGCCGGAGGGCAAAGGTGCTGGGCAGGAGAGGCGGGAGGACAGAGACGGCGCAGGAGCGCGGTTCCACAGGGTCAGGTCCCTAACACGCTGGCCAGAGCAGGGAGCCGACCTCCAAACTCCCAGGGAAAAGAATCAGTTGCCCACCGGCAGCACCTCACACCTCGCCCTGACTACAGCACTTGCGCCCGGCCCGCCGCGTGACCTGCGGCGCACGCGGCGCGGCCGGCCGGCGGCGGCGGCGGGCGGCGGCGGCGCGTGAAGGCGCGCGATACCCGGTGTCTTGAGCAGT